CTATTGATTTATTTGTCTGTGTCACTGAGGACTTCTTATCCTGCCTGTCAGTGAATAGTTATTATACTGCAACCATTGACAAAGGGAAATATGAGTTATAGCTAATCGGTACTTGTCTTTCTGTATCCTAAATGGAAAATAGATTTAAGGAGCCAGAAACAATCAACAGAATAAACTTGGGGGGAAGAAAGTGAAATTGAGAAATCTGCTGAAGAGATTTGGAGGGCAGCATCTAAATCATACTGTCCTACCAAGACCTCAAACAACAAAATAATCTATGAACAGAGGGCATTTTACTTCATTATAATAGGAGAGTCATCAATTAGGATGTAAATTAACAAACTAACCCAGCCAGTTATCAATCCTGTTCATTGTCAGACCTGTGCATTAGATATTTATCTAATGAATTGCAAATAAAGCCACTCTCCTTTATTGCATTAGAAAGAATAAGACTAATCGCTTATTTCCGTAGAGATATTTTCCTGTTTTCCATTGATCTTCCCTAAAGTAGAGATTGCACATTGTCTTATCAGCACAATTTTTACAATTCCTGACTGAATTCCATGCATTGCTATGCCATAATTCTGCCCCCCCCCCACCCAAGCATCACTTTAATTGCACTTCATTCTTCTTTCAAAAGGCCTAGTGTCAGTATTGACTTCAGGCTTAAGTGAAGTATGCTCATGCCCTCGTCAAAAAGCGTTGACCTAAGCAGTTGTAGATCTGAATCATTCTGGTGTAATTGACTTGATTGCTCAAGAGGTATCTCATCAAGGTGCCTCTTGCGTCTCATGGGCATGTAATTAGGGATATTCATGAGAGCCTGAGAATAGAAGCTGATAAGTCTTGACAAATATGTGCTGCTGGTAGAGTTATCGCTATGTATTGATATCTTGTCACTGATCCATGTTTAGTTGCCTAAAACTGTTGTCATCATATTCTCCCTAAAAGTGGACCAAGACTTAACTATTTCAGACATACTTCCTTTATCAGTCTGTTCATTTTAATTACTTGCTGAATAATCCTGTTCAGTTGAGTGACAACTAACAAGATACTCCTTTGGTCTTTTTAGCTGTCAGAAAAGGGGAGTGGGGGAAAACAAGGCATTACTTAAATGCCTAGATAATCATCCCGGCAGCCCAAAGTTGTTGGAGCGTTAGAAGGTTATTGGACAGCATGATGGATGACTCTTGGAGATGGAAGTGTCCCATTGGACAAGTAATATCCAGGGGGTGGGGGGAAGACCAGGGTCAAGGGGGAAATGTATGATGTAATTTAGTATCAGCTGCACCCAGCTAACACCAACATGGCCACTTCTAATAAATCAATTTTCTTTTCTCTGAAATGCGGCTAAAGACTTTTGATTTGAATGGGGGTGGATTTGTTGGAGCCCTGAGATTGAGTTCCCACTGAAAATGAATGGAAACACACTTTGGAGCCAAGACAGATGAAATATAATTCTGCAGTGTTGTAGCAGCAATCATATTTGCATCTAACATTTTTAATATTTTAAAACCATAGCATCCGTATCCTGAGCATTTTGGATATTTTCTCACTTTCTGCTATTAGTATCACTTAAATACTGTTAGGTTCTTGGAGAGGGCTTCATGCTTGGTCTAGTTGTCTCTAAGCAAAAATAATAATCTCTACTTTCACATCTAAAACAGACGGGCTTCGGAATACAGAAAGTAGACCACACTCTACGATCTGTGCTCCTGTGGTAGCTGTTGTCGCTGACACATACCAGGTGCCACAAGGCTGTGAGCAGTGAAACTCCCTCTCTGAAAAGCATTTGGTTGATGTATTTGGTAACAGACATACTTAAAAGGGAGAAATCATGCTATAGACAGGTGATATGCAGCTTCTTAGTTTCTTACTTGTTACATCTTTTTTTTAATACCAAATATGGCAATAGAAGGCAAACATCATAAAACTGCATCTCACTTATTTTGGTCATGTCATGCAGGTGAATTCACTGGAGAAACCAATTGTGCTTGGAAGATATTAGTGGTAAAAGGAAATCAGGCCATTGAAGAACACTGAAGATGAAGATCACACCATCAAAGCTGATACCATCCAGAGCATAGAACAACTCAAAGAAGTAGTGCACGATTGGAAGATGTGGAGACACCTGGCCCATAGAATCACCAAGAGTCGGATAATAATGAATTTATAACATCACCATCATCATCATTACTGTTTTATAAGAAGAGGACCTGATTTTTTAAAAAAAGTACTGTGGCAGGCATATTGCCTATTCCCTTCCTCCTTCAAATTTGGGGATTGGGCTGAGGGTGTATAAAGTTTGAACTATTCAAAGCCTCTATCCTTCCAGCAGGAATTGTTGCTCAATTCCTCCATGCATTTTCCACTGTGGAAAATTGGCCTTTATTGGTGAGGATGAAGGCTTTTCTAGCCTCTAATATGAATTCTTGCTGCTACCTTCATAGGTCTTGGGGATTCCTCTATGTCAGAAAAAATATATGTCAGATTACCAAATCATCCAAATCCACTAGAAAGCATCACACTGTGTATTTAAATGTACCCTATCAATTCAATTGTGTGGCAATATTGAGATAAAGCTGAGAACAGCATGGGATTCTTGCTCTAAATTCGTTTTGCATCTGATACAAATTTGCAAGAATTAAACTTTTGATCGATGGCTTGCAGTTTCCAGGTTTTACACTCAGCGGGCTGTGGGGGAAGTCAGAGATGTCACATTATCAATTCAAATGCCTTGTCAGCACGGAAATAAACCCAAATTACTACATTTTGAGAGGGTATTTTTCATTCTGGGGAACTTTAGAGATGTGACGAAGTTGTTCCACATCTTTTCGTTCAAGAGAAGAAAGGCAAATTGAATAAAATAATTGTGAGGCATTTGCTGCTCTAGAGAAGATTCTCAGAAAGGTGGAAGGAAAGAGAAGGGACAACTAACAGCAAGGTGGATTGATTCGATTTATTCTATTTTTTATTATAGTGAACTCTGGGCGGTGTTGAATGCAACCCTGAAAGGCCAGGTGAAGAAAAGACCATCATGAAAAAATCTACTTATCTGGTTACTAAAATCTACTTATCTGGTTACTAACATTTTACATTATAATGTAAAATGAATCAATGAATGAATTAACATATTAACTAAAACAGAAGAGTACAACAAAACCCATTGTTTTATAACGGGGGTGTCAAACTTGATTTCATTGAGAGCCCCATCAGGGTTGTGTTTGACCTCGGGGGTGCTGGGGGGCATGGCCAGGGTGGATGCGGCCAGCTTGATGACACTCATGCCAGGGGCACCTGTAGTGATGAAGTCCTAAGGCAGGACTTCTCTCAGTCCCTTCTTCACTGTCATTATAATAATCTTCCTTCCTTCCTTCCTTCCTTCCTTCCTTCCTTCCTTCCTTCCTT